TTGCAAATTTCGAAAATATTGGGTGGAGGCTAGGGTTTCTAGGAACCCTAGAAGATTTCGAAATTTTCTTCCATAGGGTTTAGTTTTTATAAACCTTAATTTTGATATATTCAATTTTGTGCATGATCAATGAGAACAATGGCTCTGATACCACTGATGGATTTATATGTTACAAAAAAAATTATTTTGGCGGAAAAGCATAAACCCTAAGTTCACATGCATCCTAAAGGATCTATGTTCTTACTATGATTTGCAAACAACTATTGAATTTCAAGAACCCTAAAAGTAGGTTCTATTTTCGAAATTACTAAAGGGTTATTAAAAAAATACTTTCTTTAGTTTATTATAGCAAATAAACTAGTAATCCTACCTTTATTGGTCTTCAGAAAGCAAGCACCAGAAGTCTCGTACCTCTAATGGCTCACACCTAAACCCTAGCAAATTGGAGGCTAATGAGACATCCCCAAATTCACGGTCATTTTAAAAATTTTATTTATGCTTATTTAAAAATCAGATTATCCTTTTTGAAAATATTAGTATTGCGAAATTTGTTCCCAGAAACATGATAATGATGTTATCAAAGCATTTCCGAATAAATGTATTTTTATTTAAAACATCGGGATGTCATCGTCAATGTAGAAACATAAGCATAAACAGACCTTACATTCATTTACACTAATGATTTACATCTCCTTTAATCTCTCAGTGTAATGTATCTTCGCATCGATACCTGTGATTCAAATAAACTGAGTGAGTCAGGTTGGGAAACCTGGTGAGTACATAGGGATTTCTATCCCACAATGTTATACCATATATATATATATATATATATATATATATATATATATATATATATATATATATATATATATATATATATATATATATATATATATATATACTTTATAAATCACAATATATACAATTTCACCTCATATAAGCAATTTTACCCCACCCCGTCGATCCTCACAACGACATGATTCATATTCCCGGATCTAAAATTAACAGCTTTACCTAATCCATACTCCCGAATCAGGTTTGTCTAATTCATGCCCTTGGATTAATGACAAATGACTATGCCCACTCTATACTCTCGGACTTGGGATGAATGACTATGTCTAATACATGCTCTCGGATCAATGAAAATTTTAAAGCTCGACCCTCCGTATATATCTCACCTGTACTCATAAGGAGATACTACCCGATATTCATCTCAATTAATTTAGGTTTATTCTATACCCTAAATTATCATATATTATCAGATATGCATATAACACGTATTTCAGGCAATAACAAATATTTCACACACAAACATATATTTAATACTTTAATAAATACTTGTATTAAAATCATGTTCATTAAAGGGACTATGCACTCACTTGTTAAAGTGATGACTCCAAACTCGGGGGATAAGAAGAGAAAGACTCTTGAATCGAGAGAATGGTGCAAGAAATATGAGAGCCTAGAGCATCTTATTTATAGTAATTGAATTTTCAAAACCTACCATCTATAGTTACTTAATGACCTTATAGTTATTAAAATGACTAAACATCCCCTTATACTACAATTTTAAATAGATTTAACAATATTTGTACTAAACTAATGTCGAAAGTACTCATCACTAGTCTTATAACAACCGCATCGTCGATATCTTTCTAATGATATATATATATATATATATATATATATATATATATATATATATATATATATATATATATATGATTTATACTTTATTTTAATACGTAAATATGTTATTATAAATTATAACTCGTTCATACGAACTCCGTTTTTTATGTTCTTTATACCCACTCGTAGCTATGGACGAGATCTACAACTTTCGTTTAGACTCCGTCGGCTAATTTTGAATTTATTTTTCGTCCATATTTTTATAAAATTAAATGATTTTGCTAAAATCATAACTCTCTCGTACGGACTCCGTTTTTGGCATTGTTTTTTCTCAAAATTCTTATTTTAAAGAGTACTACGATTTTCTTTTTGGTGGTTTTAGCTAAAAGTCAATCATTCTCTTCGTAGCTTTTTACAGCGTACATTAATTGTGCGCGGCTGACTTTTATATCTTATAAAAATCATATCTAATTCATACCGAGTCGGATTTCTACGAAATTTATATTTTCGGGATCGGGAAGACGTGTACTTTCTAAATATAATATACGTATGTATGTGTGTATATATATATATATATATATATATATATATATATATATATATATATATATATATATATATATGTTTTTGCGCACTTATTTTTACAATGTACGGACAATTCGACTAATTTTTCCTATTATATTATAATAATCATGAAACACATAATATTCATCTAATTATTCTTTATTACGTGAAATAAGTTACAATTTTTGACCATAACTATTACTTTGATAAAGATTATTTATCCTACATAATTTCTATAAAAAAAATCATTTTTAATGCTTATTATATCTTAATTGACTAGCCCGAATCTGCGGGTGTTACAGCTAAAAAGGAAAGGAAGGATTTTTTGGTTTTTCTCTTAGGAATAAGGATGGCCGAAATTATGAACCATTAGGAGGGTTTATATAGGTGACTAAAAGAGCTATTAGGTTTCCTTGGATAAGTCTTATTCTTTTGTTTTCCCCCTAAAGTGACTAAGACTTGGTAAAACCAAAGTGAGTTCATGACTATTTGGGAGGGCTGAATGCACATCACGTTGAGTCTACCTGCTTAATTGAGAAGTATACATTATGATATTGTATGCCACGTATTGATATAAAATCTCACGTGTGTATATCTATATTGTGGAAGTGTGGCATTGATCATGTCATAACATGGGATATATGCTCTTTTCACTATGCAATCATATCAATATATTCTACTCTCTTTCTTTTGGTTTTGTTCTTGAAAAGTATATTTTGTACAAACATTAAAATCATTGTAAAAGTGAAGATAGTGATGTGCTAGCTCCCATGCCTCAAGGGTTTCCAACGGATTTAAGAGGAATTTATGATAGATTTCTACAAAATTACATTAAATTTACATATGACAAACAAATTTGAAGGGTAGCATGTGCTACATAATGGGTTCGCCAATGTTCCAAACATACGAGGTGGATAATACACTATCCCAAGAGGTGAAGAGTTGGAGATGTCACCAAAACCGATATTAATAAAAAGATAATATATTATTTTTGAATAATTTTATTTAGAATATTTTATGCATTTGAATACACAATAATTTGTGAACCATATGACATTTTTACCCATTTTACCTATATGATCCGTTTTCATTTTAAACAAAAATATTAATTTTTACTCATATCATTGTCTACATAAATTGAAATGGTCATATATACTGCTTACCTTACTTAATATATAAGAATGATTTATAACTTTTTTGTATAAGTATGTGACTAAAAGTCTAAAACTATAAAAAAAAAATATAGTAGATATTTTTATTTGTTTTATCAGATACAAACCTAAATCATTTTTTAAAATATATTAATTTATTGATATGGGTATATTGATATTAATGACGCAATAAATGAGTACATGGATGGAACAGCAGAGTTGTTGCAAATGTTCAGAAATTTTAAAAAGAGGGTCTGAATCACAGTATCAACTGTTCGGCCACTTACTATATAGAATTGACCGATGAATGATTCAGTGTTTTTGTTCATCTTATAATATACTAAAATAGTAGAAGTGTTTATGCTCATGTTTGTTTTAAACAACTTATATTATTTTAAAATAATAATATATTTTAATTTTGTTTCGTTTTAACTTTACGACCAAAATTTGGTCCATTATTCTATTCCGGATTCTTTTCGGACTTATTTAACCATTAATTTATGACAAATACAAAAATCAACATCAATTGCAAAGTTAAAGTATACTTGTAATACTTGTTTATTTTGATCCATATGTTATTTTATTTTATTTTTAACCGCTAACTCACGCCTCTAAATCCTACTAATAAACTATATGTTTATATATAACGAGACTTGAACCATTATAATAGATAATTCTTTTCAAACACATTATACCAATAACCCTTTTCCGATCCATATATTGTTATGACAAAAGTAATCAAAACATGAAATACAGTAAACATAAGCACAAATAAATCAAATTTATATACAAGATTCATAATCAGAAAAACATACTTGAATGTTGATGTTTACAAAATAATCACAAATACGAAAATATGTAGATTGAGGTCTACGAATTGCAGTGTCCTAAGACAGAAATTGACATGTAATGGGTCTGTCTTGAGGATGCAACAATCAATTCAAGAACAGATCTTGAATATATCGAAAATCACCATGATCCCTTATGATATGAATAACGAATTTTTGAGAGAAAGTGTGTGTTTCATTAGTTTTCAAATTCTGTATGATTCCATGTATTTATAGTCTTCCAATGGTAGTTGTAAACCGTCAACCGAAATTAATTGCTAAAAACTGTCAAGCAATTAAGTCTCTAATTAACCGAATTTTACTAAATAAAAAATTAATTAAGTAAAATTAATTCCGGATTTATGAAAATAAAAATATATTAATTATACAAGAAGAGCCCATAAGCCCAAGGCCCTATCTTTGACCATTAACATATAATAAATTCTAAGTCTTCCACTAGCCCAATTTAATTAGTCCTTACTTGATAAATTTGATTAAATTGGTGAGAAAAGTTTTATAAATCAAGGTTCAACTTAACATGTTGCTTTTGGAATTAAAGGTTCTTTTTTTTTATTAATTAATTATTTTGAGTAAATTACATAATCCGTCCGGATCCAAGTACTAAAATACACGTTTAGTATATATTTTTAAAAATTAAGTCAGATAGTTTCTATTTATTAAGAATTTAAAAGTTCATATCTGCCATTCAATTAACTTTGAATAAAAATAATTGATACGTTAGCATATTCACCCCTAATCATATTCCTAATTTAGATGACTTTATTGCCTAATCATATCCTATTCAATGGTTTTGTTTTTTTGCTATATCTTTAATTTTTGTCATTTGTTACAAAAAGAAAAAAAGGAATCAAATAATTTTGATGAAATGGATTGAGGTACAAAAATTTGAAGTCCACCGGAAAATATATCTTATTTTCAAAAGGTAAGACAAAACCACCACCGCCGCCACCGTGGCCCACAAAATTGGATGGTTCTCTCTACCCATCTCCCACCATCCTATTACCACCCACTTTCTTGCCTTCTTCTACCTCAAAACACCCTAAAGACACACACACATACACACCATTTTTATCACACTTCTCTCTGAAAAAAAATAAACACTAGGATCAATGGATCAAACATCCCCCAAATCTCCATCGCCACCACAAACACCGCTGCTGTTCAGGCCTCTAGTTCCGACGGCAGTTACTCCTACTCCTCTTATTATACCGAAGGTTTTCAAATACCCAGAAATGTAATCAGTTTTTTATTTTATTTTTCTGATCATTTTAGAAAAATGATTGTTATAATTTATGGGTATGTATTATTTTATAGGTATACGAGTCCTACTGATTTGATCATGTCCCCTGTTTCAAAGGGCATACTTGCAAGAACCACGTCGAAGAAGTCATCTCTCCCGTTACTAAATTCGTCTACTACAAATAAAGAACAACACAAGGTACCATATTATCATGCGTACTCTATTACTCATCATCTATGTAGATTTTATGGTCATATAACTTCGTCAAAGTTAAACAAGCTATTACAATGTTTTTTCATGTACACGGTTTTTTTTTTCGTTGTGTTTTTTCTTTTAAATTTGATAGTCCAATATCCACCTGCGAAAAATGGTTAACTGGATGATGGTGTTTCAATTGATATTTTTGGCCCAATAGAATTCAACCCTAAACCCTAATAATATGTATTTTTTGAAAGGGTAGTTTTGAACAAATTATATATATATATATATATATATATATATATATATATATATATATATATATATATATATATATATATATTATTGACGGTTAGTAACATGAATTTTACTGTTATTATATATATATATATATATATATATATATATATAATACTTTTTACAATTTTAATACTTTTGTTATCCTATTAAGTTTTTTTTTCTATTATTACGATGGTCACCTCTTGTAGATGGAAGCTTCTATGTTTGGAGAAAGGGATGCTCTTGGAATTTGAAAATTTTATGTTATTTTTTTTATTTAAATTGTAAGCAAATTTTATTATCATAATTGTGGTTTTATTTGTAAATTAATAACTATATCTATTGAAAATCAAATTTAATCAAATAACTATATCTATTGCAACGAAAGTTTTTAATCAATTTTGAAGAATTAATTTTTTTTAGTAGCTGAATTTTTCAATTAAAAAAGAAAAGACAACCCATAGCAAGTTGCTAGGGCCAAATTTACCAAAAGTTATCTAACAATGGACTTAATCATAGTTGTCTACTCGTGACTCGGAAATGTGGATTGTGTATCCGTAACTTGATTCATAAGAGTCATGATATTAAAAAATATATATGTAAATATATAAATCTGAAAATCATTTAGGTTCATTTTATGTATTAATATTTCTAACATATGCATGCGTTTCAAGAAATTCTAGAATAATTTTAAATGGCACTTTTAATTTTAGGCACTTAGTGCTACTAAAGAGTATATGGAATGTTCAATGATTTTGTTTAGATGATGTTTAGATAAATTAGCTTATAGTTTATTAGCTTATAGCGTTGTGAGAAAACGGTTTTTGCAAAAGTGTTTGGATTAACTTATAGCGATGGGGGATAAGCAATAATCTGATAAGTATTTAAGTGTTTGGCAAACAAAACAGCTTATAGATACAAACCACTTGGATTTTGGTGACTTGGTAAGGCATGTGGAAGATATAGTGGATAACCTATTAACCCATGTTCAAATCCTGACACCTCTCAACGTGGTCATGGAGGTTCGTCTGTAGTGAGTGACTCCAGGGCATGAGGCAAAGTCTCATTTTTGCAGCGGGGGATTAGTCGGTACGTGAAAGCTGGTCCGGAAACCCTCGTTAGGGAAGTACCTTTCCGAAAAAAAAACTTTATTTAGATACAAATAAAACAAAGGAAACCTTAACTCATAACTTCAATTGCTCCACCAAAAAATGAGACTACATAGAAAATGGCAGATCTTTTATAACTTTTAACTACTCGGAGCTTCAATACATTACAATTGCTCTACCCAAAAAATGCATCGCACCAACCTTAAGTCATAGTCCTGGAATAAAGACCACCACAATATCCTTGCTAATTTACTCATTCTTTTGGAAACTAATAATGTAAAATATACAAAATAGAGTCCATGATTCTTTTTTGACCCTATGAAATCATTTTGTTGCATTTTTGTATGACGGTTGTTAAAATTTAAGTAATAAGTTGTTATCTTCTTTAATAACCATATTGACCTTGGACCAAACCTGAAAAATACAATATACCATAGGTCACAGGAATCAAGGGCAAAATGGTACGTATGGTATATTGTATTTTTCACATTTGGTGCAAGAGATCAATATTAAATAGTCAAGCATGGAAGGCCTTTCAGCTCAAGGATAGCAATTTCCTTCACCACTTCATGCCTCATTCAAATTAGGCATCGGTTATAACAAAGCAGAGTATAAATAATGAATTTTGTTTTTAAGCATTCATTTTGTTAAAAAGTAATATAAACAGGAATAATAAAATTAATAATGAATTACTTTTTATCTTTTTCAAAAGTAAAATTGTTGAAAAAACAGATGAGTTTGCTTCTGTTTGCAAACAGCGCATTCACAATTTGTGGTGGTTTTTTCTGGTTAGCAGGGAACGGCTATTCCGGAAAAATAAAATAAAAAAACATATTTTTAAAAACAAATATTTGTATAGGAATTAAAAATTGAACATTTGTTATATATGTGTATTACCTTGAACAAATGGAAGGCTTCTAGCTGTATGGTCTTGTTTGAATCCTACGGTGGAAGAAAAATGGTCAAACATTATTAAAAAAATGTAAAATATAATAATAATATAGGACGTAATAAATAAATAAATACCCTAAGAATATTCATGATAATTCTCATGTTGTCCAATGAGCAAACATATCGAACCATCACAGGGTATTTGAACGATCCAATAACATTGCTCCTAGCAGCTAAAACATTTTTGCAGACTCTCAGTTTACAATTTAAGAGAATAAAATAAATAAATAAAAACAATACTAATATAGAAATAAACAATAGATAACCTTCACATCATTTCGTCTAATAATGTAGTTGGGAGATTACAGCAATGAGTTCAGTTGTACTCCTGGAAGAACCTCATCAGAAAAGTATAATTAATAGAAAAAATTAAGCCAAGAGTTTATAACAAATAAAACTGTGCTCAATGTAATAAACATTTACCCAATCATAGTTTTTGGAAAGAAATTATGCAACAGTTGACTTATGCCTTGTCAATAACTCCAGAAAGAAGGATAAAAAACCTTCATCATTTTATCCGGTAACGACATTACTATATACATAATATAATAACTTCACATTCATAGATAAAGTTAGCATATTGATACAATTTTCATACTTGTATCTTATTGAAAGAGGCTTACGTAAACAAATATATAATATACAAGGCAATAGGAATTGCAACTGATAGAAAAACATGAAACTTTCAAGATGGTTGACTCGAAAAATTGATGTTGCATCTGATGCAATGTCAAAACTTAGATCTTGTGTGGACTTGAAGAGCTTTTTAATGTGATCCGGCTCCAAGATATATCTTAGAAAATAACAACTATATTTTAGAACAGAGTTAATGGTAACACATCACATCATATATCAGGATGACAATAAAGAAACAAATATTGTCTATGAAGCTTACTTTGCGGAAACCTGAGGTGTCCATGCCCTTTCTTCACCTTTGAGTTGCCAGAAATTGCTCATTTCATTCCATCAAGTAGTTTTTATTTCCTCTTGAAATTTGAAAACAAATGATTTGATAAGCTCAAGCCTTGCTTACCTTTGTTGTCACATCAAATGCAGATGTGGTACCACCAGTCGCGTTGATCTAGTTAATTACATGGTACCAATGTGCATTTGAAAATATTTAATCCAAATCAGTTATTTTCCACATCTGCAAAGTCCATGGTGACCAGCCCAGGTATCTAAAAAATAAAAACATGATTTATTATATATATATATATATATATATATATATATAATATATATAATATATATATATATATATATATATATATATATATATATATATAGAGAGAGAGAGAGTTAGGTTCAAATGTTTCTACTATCTATTATGTGTATGTAGGATTGATTGTGGATCAATCATTTTAGTTATTTAAGAATGTAATAATGCATTTTAATGTTGAAAATTGATTAATATTCATTATATCTTCACATATAATATGCATTAATTACTTTCTTAAAATAACTAAAATGATTGGTCCACAATCAATCCTACATGCACACAATACATAGTTAGAACAAAATAACCTAACCATATATATATATATATATATATATAATATATATATATATATATATATAATATATATATATATATATATATATAGGCTTAGGTTATTTTGTTAACACTATTTATTGTGTTATTTTATTATTAATTGTGGGCCAATGAAATATGGAATTTTTAAATGAAAATGATTATCATAAAATAGATATCCAATAAATGAAAAAGTCTTCACATTTAATGAAAAATGATCAGGAAGGGTATATGTGTACATTTGCCCTCTCCATTAAAATAGGAAACTACTCCATTTTATTAACTTCCCGCATAATCCCTACAACTTCGCATAAGTCCGGATTCCACTACCCTCTGTTTTGGAACGCGAAATCAATGAAAATCTTCTATAATCAACCAAAAATAGCGGTAGATTCTGTTGTTTTCTTAGTATAAAGTGTTATATTATTGAAGATCGTTCAAAGAAAGTGCACTGTGATCGTTCAAAAAAAAAAAGAAATTGCAGTAGAATGAGGAATACAAGGACGAGTTCTTTCAAATCGAAATTTAAGAACACACAAGCAACGGTTTTGAATCTAGATGAAGACGATGATGATTTCGTTACTCCGCCTAGAGGTAAATTTTTTTTTAGTTTTTTTTAAGGTAATCGTTTGATTACAGAACATTCTTTTGGAATTTTTGAACAATGAAGTAGATGCATGTGGTTGTTAAGTTCGTTTAAGTAACAAAGAACAAAAATCTGTAAAAATGGAGTATTTTTTTCATTAGGGTTTTCTGAAATTGGGGATTTACAAACGAAGTAAAAAATTTTACTGTACAGATATTGTAATGTCATTCTTGAAGAAAAGGGTCTGTTATTGTGTATTTTGTTGTGTCTTGTAACCGCGAAAAACGATGTTGTTTCTGTCCTTTATTTCGCTTAGAAATATGTTGTTGTGGTTGTAATGTAAGTCAGACTTGAGGATATTCTATAAGAACTAAAATGTTATTTGTTGAAATGCATTCTTCTAGAATACTAAATATGTAATAGGAGTCAACGTAGTAGTTGTTGTTGTGGTAATTTAGGGTGTTAATGTTTTGTTTGTTATTGAAATTTTTTCTAGTATTTTGAGATATTTTTAAAAAAAATGCATAAATCTTTCAAGTTCTTTATGTTATGATAGAATTTAGTAATATAATGTTGTATTCTTTTATTTAATTTGGTTTTTTTGTTTTTATAATTTGTAGTTTTATTCCTATTATTTTGATGTTGCAGTTTAGTTGTATGTAGGGTGTGTATGTAATTTTAACATAATTAGTTTAATTAAATGTGTTAAATTCGTAAAGAATGTGTAACATGAGAAGGGGATGTAGTGGTTAAATAAGTCTAATTCTCACACAATCTTTAAAAATTAATGTTCATATGGGGATTAATATTGGGTATTTGTATATATGTTTGTTTCTCTGTGTTTGTTATTGTGATTTGTGAGGATTTAGTTTTTTTGTAGTAAAGCTTTGGTTTTAATTTTAACATAAACATTATACTTATGTGTTTTGCGTTCTTACAGAATGATGAAAAGCAAAATTGTAATAGAATCACTGTAACAGAATTGTGTGTGTGTACATTATACTTATTAGCATTCTGATAGAATTTACTCCAAAGAATTATAATTCTAATAGAATCATTGTAATATAGTCAATGTAACAGAATTGTGTGTGTGTACATTGTACTTATTAGCATTCTGATAGAATTTGATCCTAAGAATTAAAATTCTAATAGAATCATTGTTAGGGTATGTGTGTACATGCTTACTGAATTGTAACAGAAGTAAGTGTATATTGGGGTCATATATATTGGAATGTGACTGTTTAATCTGGAGATTGCTATTAAGTAAATGTATATGTTTTTATTACTGTGAAGTTTGATGATTTAATTTATTTGTATTTACTATTTGGTTTGAATTCTGGTAGAAACAGGTTTTGGATTTGTGTTTCATCCTTATAGAATGAAAACTTATATAATACTTTTAGTTTTTATAGGTAATAAAGTATGGCTGGTTACTTTGAAAACTATTATTAAGCGACTTTAATCATTCATTTCATTAGTTGTTGCAGAAGCTGATCCAGTCCCAATTAATGTTGATACTACAAGCCAAACAAATGTGAGAAGGAACTACCGTACCAGATCAACACCCGTTAAAGAGAATATTAGTACTCAACCTACAGGTAGATTTAATTTTTTTGGTTTATGAAGGAAAATAACAATAATTTTAGAAAATGTTGATAGCCAATATGTATTTCTTGTTAATTAATGAAGCAGAAGGTGGCGGAAGTGGACAAAATGATATGAATATTGTTGGATCAAGCAAAACAAAGAAACGGAGGAAAACAACTTCAAGATCAGAACATGGAAAGAACAATGTAGAATGTGGTAAGACAGGTTAGATAATAAGTGCTTGTAATTAATGAGTTCAACTATATGATTCTGATATGGCTAATATAGAGTTTATTATTCTATTGAAGTTATATTATACGATTAGTAATTGTTTTTTTGTGATATAACATATTTTAACAAAGATAAGAAAGACACAATACAAATTGACAGCACAAGTGTAAGAAGTCTGAAAAGTAAGGGTTCTGCTAGAAATACACCTGTTAAGGACAATAAGAAATCGTCGGATGCAAGTGGTGAAAGGAAAAAACCAAGAGGTTTAAATGAGATTTTTATGGAGAGTATTAGTGGGGCAAAGAAAAACAATGAAAAGGCTAATATTGGTGTGGATATGGAAGATAAGGAAAATGTTGTAAAAAGGAAAAAGGTAGTGCAAGATGCACATTCAAAGAAAAGTCCAAAGAGAAAGAAAGGAAAAGTAGAACATGAAAATGATAAAATCAAAACAATGGAGGGGAAGGTCAGAAAAATAAGCAAGGACCATCCAGAAGGTTATAGAAGACTTGCAACTAGGATGACTCCTGGAAGGATAAGTTCAGCTGTGAAAGTAATGTCACCCGCACAGAAAAATGGGATTGTGTCAATGGGATTTGGTTCACTTCTTCATATTGACATAGACACTACTCCGGGTTTACTTAACTACTATCTATTAGATCACTATGATCCAGATAGTAGCCGTCTAGTTCTGGAAAATATGGTCATAACAATTACGAAAGACACAGTGCATGACATATTGGGTTTACCAAATGCGGGGGAAGACTTTCTGAGGTTGAGTAGTTGTGATAAAGATAATGAAGTTCTGCAAGAATGGAAAGACCAATATGATAAAAAAGGGTTCAATGGTGAAGAATACCTGAAAAGGATCAAAAACACAAAGCAAGACAGTCTTATGTTTAGGCTGAATTTCCTGACCCTTTTCATTAACACATTTGCTTAATCAACTTTGAGTGGTACCAATCAAATTGATGTTGTGAATAAGTTGGTCTTGGTAAAGGACTTCTCTAAAATTGATTGGTGCAAGTATATCCTAGATTGTTTGGTAAGCAGAAAACAACTGTGGAGAAGAGATGATAAGACATGCTATTACAGTGGACCTATACTAGTTTTGACGGTAATATTGTTGTCTATATTAAATATTTACTTTACTTTATGACAGGAATATGTATAATGAATTACTTAATGAATTTTAATCTTTTTGATGTAGCTGGTGTATGTATATAGAATGAAGTTCACAGGTATTAAGATAGTGCGAAAGGTTACCGTTTGTTAGAAATGTTACGGGTGCTTTACTTGAAAAAATAGAGAAGATGGAGATTAGTGTTGGGGGGTTTGGTAGGCAGTTACCAGAAAACTTTGAGGATATTGGTGATGATTATCGGAAAGAGTCGTAACTGTCTTCCTTAATTGGAAGAGCAAGAACAAGTCTCTCCATTTTTTTGGGGGAGCAGAGCAGTCAAAGAATGAAACAGATCAAATGATTGTTCTAGAATGGCTATTTCCCCGGGATTATTCTGGGGAGGAAGGTTGTAGTAATCACGGACTTTTGAACTCATTTTTTTTTATCAATTTGAGTGAAAGAAAGGAAGAAAGAAGAAAGAAATTATTCCCTTTTTTCTTGTCCAATACCACCAGTACCAGAAATGCATCTCCTTCGCTAATTCAGTGCCAGCCGTTGGTGAAAGACCTGCATGGATCTTCCAAGGAAGACTCCCGATCTTTTTGTCGTCCTTGAAAGAATTTGCATTACAGAGGATAGCCCAAAGGTGGGATACTGGGGTCTTAGTAAGAATCTGTTGCAAGCAAATGCATGTAAGGGAGGAATGCCCGCATTAAGATTTAAAACTTGTCGTCTACTTGAAGGAAATGTTTGGAACAGGAAACTTAATGGTTGATGAAGATGAGATGTTAGACGGGATGATGAGGGATTATGGTGATGAGGAGGTAAGCTATAAATTCACTAAGAATATGGAACAATATTTCTTTCAGAATTGTAAAAAATGATAATTTAATATGAAA